TTAACTATGCAAAGACTTTCACTTGTGTGGAGCATAAAAAGCTATGGACAACATTGTAGAGAATGAGTATTCCAGAACACTTAATTGTGCTCATGAGGAACCTGTACATAGACCAAGAGGAAGTTGTTTGAAGAGAATAAGAGAACACCGAATAGCTTACAGTTAGGAAAAGTGTGCCACAAGGTTGTATTCTTTCACCAAATTTATCCAATATGTATGCTGAGCACATAATCTGAAAAGCTGAATTATATGAAGAAAAATGTGGCATCAGGATTGGAAGAAGACTCATTAATGGCCCACAATATGCAGAGGATACAACCTTGCTTGTTGGAAGTGAAGAGGACTGAAAATGCTTACTGATGAAGATCAAAGCCTTCCATATCAGTTGCATGTCAATGTAATGAAAACAAAAATCCTCACCACTGACCAGTAAATAATTTCAAGATAAATGGAGAAAAGATGGAAGCTGTCCAAGACTACATTTTGCTCAGAACAACTGTCAACAATCATGGAAGCAGCAGTCAAGAAATCAAATGACTTATTGCATTAGGCAAATCTGCTGCACAAGATCTCTTTAAAGTGTTGAAGAGCAAAGATGTCAGCTTGAGGACTCAGGTGCACCTGACCCAAGCCATGGTATTTTCAGTAGTCTCATATGCATGTGAAGTTTGGACAGTGAATTAAGAAGACAACAAAAGAATTTGAACTATGGTGTTGGAGGAGAATATTAAAAGTAAAATGTACTGCCAAAAGAACAAACCAATCTGTGTTGGAAGAAGTACAGCGTGAATCTTCCTTGGAAGCCAGGATGACCAACTTTGTCTTTCACACTTCAGACATGTTATCAGGAGAGACTGATCCCTGGAGAAGGATATGTTGTTTGTTAAAGTAGAGGGTCAGAGAAAAAGAGGAAGTCCCACAACAAGATGGATTGACACAGTGGCAGCAACAGTAGGCTCAAGCGTAGTAAGGATTGTGAGGGTGGCACAGGACCTGGCAGTGTTTCATTCTGTTGTGTATAGGGTCACTATGAGCTGGTACAAACTTGTTGGCACCTAACAATAACAAAAGGGTTTTGATCTTGATTTGAATCTAGACTCTGCCACCTATTCAGAATGTGATGTCGTTGTAAGTTTCACTTTCCTCAACTAGTAAATGGAGACATTTATTATTCATGTGATGATTGTAAAGATTAAATGACATCATATACAGTGGGGCTTTAAGAAGTTTGTGGAAAAATTATCTTTTTTTTTTTTTTTTTTGCATCAAAGGCATCTCCTAACTTTATTAAAGGGCCCACGATGCAGAGTGAATATAAAACACAAAAAGTCCCGTCAGTTAAATAACAATAAAAAACCCCAAAAATGGAAAACTTGAGGGGGCAGGGGAAGAAGCCCCTGGGTCAGGGGCACAGGAAGCCCTACTCATGGCACCAGGCCTGGCTGCAGGGGTCCCCCACAGATATTGCTGTTGCTATGAGGTTGTGGGGGGCAGCGATTGTCCTGTGGGAGCCACCAGTCACCTGGGCTGAGGACCCTCACTTCTTTTGGGGTGTGCTCAGCTTCTGCATGCCCGGGATCTTGTCCAGCAGGTCAGAGATGAAGGCCTCAGTGGGTTTGTAACAGTCAACCAGCAGCTCCTTGACCCTGGCAGCCCGGGTATCATCACTCTCCATGTCCAGCAGCTCATCCAAGTCCATTTCCAGCTCTGGAATCACTTCTTCCTGGCAGTCATAGAGGCCTGTAAGCTGCTCCAAGATCCACTCTACCAGATTGAGGCGCTTCCGTAGCTCCTTACGGTCCTACTTGACTGTGACCTTCCCTTGGCGCATCACTGGGCCATTGTCGTCCGCGCCGCCCCCGGCCCTCGCCTGCGGCCCCAGGGGGACTCTGAGAGAAGACGCGGGGCCCTGGGCATCCACTGCCCGGTCCGGGAGCCCGGGCCACCAACGCCGTGCCCCCCGCGGGCCGCTGTCTGCCATGGCGGGCCTCGGGGGCCACTTGCACGTGCTGGGCCCCTCCCTGCGCTGCCGCCTCCGGCATGCCCGCCGGCTGGCTCGGTTTAGCTCGCGGGCTCCCATTATCTTTTAATTCCATTTTTCCATGAACTTTTTGAAGCTATCTCATGTAATATAGATAATGTCCCTTTATTCAGGACAATTTTACAATAGGACTTCTGGTATGGTGCTGTAGGATAAGCACTGGGCTGCTAACCTCAGGGTTGATGATTCAAACCCACCAGTTGCTCCTTGGAAACTCTATATGCAAGATCCCTATGAGTTGGAACCAGATGGCATTTAACAACGACAGCATTCTACAATATAGAACAATCCTTCAGTAGAGCTTCCAGACTAAGCCAGACTAGGAAGAAAGGCTTAGTGATCCACTTCTGAAAATTAGTCATTGAAGATCCTATGGATCACAATGGAATAATGTCCAACATACTGCTGGAAGATGAGCCCTGTAGGCTGGAAGATAGGACACAGTGCCTGCAACAACAGACTCAAACATAGCAGTGATTGTGAAGGTAGTGCAGGAATGGTCATGATTCATTCTGTTGTACACAAGGTTGCCAGGAAGTAGAGTGGACTTGATGGTAATTAGCAACACGCAAACCATCTGCAGTACAGATAAACCATCATGTATTTAACCCTCCTCCTGTTGACGGATGCTCAGGTTGTTTTCTATGTTTTATCACTCCCAAACTTGATGTCATTCTTATCCATATAGTGTTACATAAGACTTTTCCAACAGCTAGATTACACAAAGAGTGAGTTAGAGCTGAGTGACATATAGGGGCATTCATTAAATATTGGGGGGGGGGGATTTTTCATTGTACATAGTGACCCTATGTACAACAGAACAAAATATTACCAGACCCTGTGCCATCCTCAAATCATTGCTATGTTTTGGCCCATGGTTGTAACCACCTTGGACTCTTTCTCTTTTTCAATGACCTTTTACTTTACCAAGCATGATAACATTTTCCAGGGGCTGGTCCCTCCTGATAACATCACCCAAGTACATGAGGTAAAGGCCCACCATTCTTGCTTTGGAAGGGCATTCTGGCTGTATTTCTTCCAAGATGGATTTCTTCATTCTTCTAACATCCCATAGTATGTTTAAAATTCTTCACCAACACCATAACTCAAACTCAAATGCAAAAAAGGAAAGGCTGAGTAATCTGTAGCATGCATATGTATGTGTTGTTATTGTTGTTAAGTGCTGTTGAGTTGGTTCCAACTCATAGCAACCCTGTGTAGGATTTCCTGGAGCAGCCATTGAGTTTCAATTGCTGGCCTTGTGGTTGACAGTCCATTGCTGATCCTACGGGCGCCACACCAGGAGTCCATTAGGCACTGAGAAAGTATAGAAGGTCCACACCATAAGCAACGATGAGGGTTTAGAGTGTGTGATGGCCTAGATGTTTGTTATTCTCCGTATACCTTGGTGATATTTGCTGTAGTACAGTAAGCATGTTATTCCTTTGGAGATTTGGAAGGAAATTTTAAGAAAGAAGGTTTATTCTGTTAGCCATTGAAGAGGACATCCCTAAGACAGTGGCATGTACTCCAAGTGGCCATCCAGTTCTCTGTGTATGGAATGGAATGAGCTCCCCACAGAAGCCCATCTCTTCACAAAAGTTCATTTGAAACTTCTAGGATCTAGGCTTTAAAATCTAGGATATCGTGTTGGGTAAGATGGAGAGTCAGAGAAAAAGAGGAAGACCCCCAACGAGATCGATTGGCAAAGTGGCAGCATCAGTGGGCGTAAGTGTGGCAACAATTGTGAGTTTGGTCCAGGATCGGGCAGTGTTTTGTTCTGTTGTGCATAGGGTTGCTATGTACTGACTTGATGGAACCTAACAACAACAAGTCTTTTAAATTAAAAATATGACAGAAGTGGTTCTTTGGAACTCCATGAAGACAGGAACCATGGTGTTCTTTTGGCTCATCATTGTACTTCCAGTATCAGGAACAGCATTTGACACATTGTAGGCCCTCAAGAAGGAGCTCCTGGGTGGCACAAACAGTTAAGCACTTGATAATTAACCAAAAAGTTGGCGGCTCAAACCCACCGAGAAGCACCTCAGAAGACAGGCCTGGGGATTTGCTTCTAAAAGTTCATAGCCTTAAAAATCAGTGGTGTCATTAACGGGGTGCAGAGGATGTGGGCTACCATGTGACACTGTCAGAGTGGGTGGCATCAAAAGGACTGTCTATAAAGATTTTGTGCAGTGTTTCAGCAGAAATTCATTACTTTTTACAAAAATATCCCGAGAGTCAGTTATAACAACCAAAACATTTCGTAAGCTCAGCTTACGAGTGTTAATAAATTGACGAGACTAAAACTCTATGCTAACATACTTTTTGAACCTTCTAGTGTGCTCTGGACAGAGTTGTCATTATTACTCAATTATAAGGATACTTGGGATCTTCACACATGACAAACTCACACTTTTGTTTCCATTGCTGCCCGTGTTTTTACAGTCACTGATTTGGTCAAATTTCCTGTTTGTTTTGTCTTTAAATTGTGGTCATTAATATTTTTGAACCAATAACAATACATTTTTTTTTGAGAATGAAGTATTAACTAAAGGAAAAGAAGGAAGAGGATACAAATCCCAAAGGGCTTCCACTCTCTGTTACTATTATATAATGTTGCATCTAATAATGCTGTGGGAAGTAAGGAAAAACTGGACAAATTGTTGAATGATACAGAAAGCATCAAAAAAAGATGGAAGGAACACATAGAGTCATTGTACCAAAAGGATATGGTTGATGTTCAGCCATTTCAAGAGGTAGCATATGATCAAGAGCCAATGATACTGAAGGAGGAAGTCCAAGGTGCATTGAAGGAATCGGCAAAGAACAAGGCTCCAGGAATTGATGGAATACAAATTGAAATCTTTCAAGAAAGTGAGGCGGCACTGGAGGCACTCATTCATCTATGCCAAGAAATTCAGAAGATAACTATCTGGCCAACTGATTGGAAGAGATCCAAATTTGTGCCAACGGAAACATTCCAATGAAAAGTGACCCAACGGAAAGCATAAATCATCGTACATTATCTTTGATATCTCATGCGGGTAAAGTTTTACTAAAGGTAATACAGAAATGGCTGCAAGCATGCATTGACAGAAAACTTCCAGAGGTTCAAGCCAGATTAGGAAGAGGCTGTGGAACAAGGGATAT